CTGTGGAAGCATGACGGCCCTGCCTGAAGATTTCCGGCGAAATCTCCACTCTAGAGTACTGAGTTTTGGAAATGTTGGGAATTCAGGTTATTCCGGACTCTATCGCCTTCTGTCTCCACTCAAGGAGCTGAATGTGATTGACTGCTGTGAGCTTTCGGCCTTCCCACAGTCCGTCTCCGCTATGGAGTCACTCACAACCTCGTTCTTGATGGCTGCGATCTTCACGAGCTGCCGGAGACATCGGGCAGCTTTCAAACCTGGTTTCGCTGAAGCTGTCCAGTAGCAAGCTCGTCACTCTGCCCGACTCGTTTGGGCAGCTGGGGAAGCTGAAGGAATTAGTATTCATGGAATGCAACAGCCTGCTTGAGCTTCCAAACTCCTTCACCAATCTCAACTCCTTGGAAACCCTTTTCATTTACGGTGGTGCTTCTCTAGTAGACCTCCCTCCAGGTTTTGAAACCCTCCCGAAGCTGCGCACTCTCTATCTCTTCAACTGCGTCTTTGCGAGCCTGCCGGACAGGTTCGGGGACCTGCCCGAGCCTGGAAGTGCTCAGGATCGGGACAAAGGCAACGTACAGCAGGAATAGGCTCGAGACCGGCAGCGAATCAGATTACGGAGATGAGTTGGAAGGCGCGTGCGCCCTCCACATGCTTCCCCAGTCCCTGGTTCGCCTCACAGGACTGGTAGAGCTCGTTTTGGAGGGGTGTGAGATGCTGGAGGAGTTGCCGCCAGGCATGGGGGGGCTGTCCAGCCTTAGAGTGCTCGAGGTGAGGAATTGCCCTCAGCTGCGGCTCTTCCCGTCCCTGCTCTCCCCTCCCGTCGTTGCTGCTGCAACTGCCACCCCTGCTCCCCCGTTTCCATCGCTGGAGCAGCTGGAGATATCTGACTGCCCGCGCCTGGAGAGCCTTCCAGAGGGCCTGCATCTGCTGCCTAGACTGGAACACTTGGCTCTTGAAGACTGCCCCAGTCTAGAGCTCACACACCCGAGCCCCTTGCCCCCCCCCACGTCCCCAACCCCACAGAGCAATACTTTTCTGTCTGCACTCTCCCCACCATCGACCTCCCCCTCCTCCCCTCCTCTTGTTGCGCCCATCTCCCTTCCGATTTCCATGAAAACCATCATTCTCTCAAACGTCTTCCAGTCAGCCCAGTACCTGCCAGAATCCCTTCTTTCCCTCGCCCAACTCACCCACTTGAACATCTACGACCTTCCATCTCTCCAGCAGCTTATTGCCCCTTCCCTTGTGACCCAGTCCTCAGCCTACGATCAAGCCACCCACAATCACCAATCTGAAAGATTTGATTCTGATTCTGATGTGCCTGCCAGATTGGATCTCTTTCCTTCTCTGCAGCATCTTCACATCGCCCTCTCCAACCTCTCTGCACTCTCTGAAACCGTGGGCAATCTGGCGCAGCTGAAAGTGCTGCTGCTAGAGGAGTGTCCCTGCCATGACCTCCCTTCCTGCGTCCCTCACTAGCCTCTCCAATCTCCAACAACTGACACTCAAGTCGCTCCCCTTGCTGACCCACATGCCCGAAAATATCGGGCAGCTTAAAGCCCTGCGCAATCTGAGTCTGGAGTCCTGCCAAGCTCTTAAAGCCCTGCCGTTCTCCGTCACCCTCCTCTCCTCCCTCATGCCTCCAATCAGATTCAGCCATTCAGGCAGGTTGGCAGAGCGAGGAAGGTGAAGCAAAGAGTTGAACGAGTGGGGGAGAGGAGAGAGTCGGGAGAGGAGAGAGCGGGGAGAGAAAGAAGTGGGGAGAATGCAGCGTAGAGAGAGGAGAAATGGAGCGAGTAGGCAGAGGAGAGAATAGGGAGCGGAGAGAATGGGGTAAGCAGAGTGCGCATGAGTGAGGTGGTCTCACCCGCAACACACTCGGTCGGGGTGATCCCAGAGCCTTCAGGGCAAGCACAGTAAGGCAGCGCCACCGTCTCACTGGCGGTTGCTGAAGGGAAGGACTTGCAGGTGGCTCCAGTGGGGCACTCGCCACAGGGAGAGTCTGAGGGGTGGGCATGGGTGCAGTGCGGCATGTGAGCCGATTTTGAGTCGACTCAACAATTAAGGAAGCGACACCGTCCCACTGGCGGTTGCTGAAGGGAAGGACTTGCAGGTGGCTCCAGTGGGGCACTCGCCACAGGGAGAGTCTGAGGGGTGGGCATGGGTGCAGTGCGGCATGTGAGCCGATTTTGAGTCGACTCAACAATAAGCGACACCGTCCCACTGGCGGTTGCTGAAGGGAAGGACTTGCAGGTGGCTCCAGTGGGGCACTCGCCAAAGGGAGAGTCTGAGGGGTGGGCATGGGTGCAGTGCGGCATGTGAGCCGAGTCGACTCAACAATTAAGGAAGCGACACCGTCCCACTGGGGTTGCTGAAGGGAAGGACTTGCAGGTGACTCCAGTGGGGCAATCGCCACAGGGAGAGTCTGAGGGGTGGGCATGGGTGCAGTGCGGTACGTGAGTACGACTGCTTGTGGGGGATCGAGGTTCCAGAGGGGCGGGAGGCACGGGGTGAGGCAGAGGAAAGTCGTTCGCATGGGAGATGCGAGAGAGATGCATGTGGTCGCATGAAAGCCGTTGCATATTCACCCCACGGTTGGCATGGGTTTGATGTACGAATACATGAGTTGAGATGAGAACAGAAGAGCTAGGAGGCTCACCCCAGAGGCTAGGAGGCTCACCCCAGAGGCAGAAATGATTTCCGTTGCGATCCACCTCGCATGTGCCACCAGGCACACAGCCCAACGCGTCACAGGTCACATCTGCGGCAGGAGAGGCGGACAGAAAGACGCAACACACAAAAAAGATATGGGAATGGAATTCTTATCAATATAGTAGTTCTTTCAAAGGACATAAGGGCATCGGAATAAAGTAGGCAGGGGTAAGAGGGCATTGCCGTGGACTGAAAATTTGCCAGGAGCTCGGATGCTTGAAATCAAGCAGTGGCAGCATCACAGCTGCCACACCCTTCGGAATCACGCCTTTCGGAATCACACCCTTCGGAATCACACCCTGCGGAATCACACCCCTCGAAATCACAACCTTTGAAATCACACTCTTTAGGATCACACTTTCCAGAATCACACCCTTTTAGGGGGTGTCCCTCTATAGGGGGGTCAGCAAGGAACGTACCAGTGGAGTCCACGTTGCAGAGAACAGACGCCACTGAAGCGCCCTTGCGAATCTTCTTCTCCGTGCTAGGGGACCTGAAGGGCGTGGCAAGTGGAAACTCATGGAGGGAGAGGCGAGTGGAAGCCCACACACTCTATTTGAGGCGTCTCAAAAAGAGAACAGACGCCACTGAAGCGCCCTTGCGACATTCTCCTCTGTGCGTGGGAACCTGAAGGGCGTGGCAAGTGGAAGCACACACACGCCATTTGAGGCGTCTAAAAGGAAAACACTCGCCACCGAAGCACCCTTGCGGTTCTTCCCCGTGCGTGGGAACCTGAAGAGCATGGCAAGTGGAAGCACACACACGTAACGCTCACAGGACATTGTTTTATGTCCCCTTTCCCTCCGTTGTTCCCCCCTACCCAAGCCATGCACTGCTCGCGTCCTCTCGGTGCCCTCTCGCTCCTCGTGCCTCAATCACCGACTTTTGAGGCGCGTCAAAAGCCATGCACTGCTCTTGCCCTCTCGCTCGTCGTGCCCCAATCACCGCGGGCGGCCACCCAACCCAAGCTCACAGCGGCGCACACGGCATCACTGCCACACACCACCCGCCACTCACAACACTCACACAACACCCACCCAACACTCACAGCACTCACAACACCCACCCGCTACTCACACGTCCGCATTGCCAGGGTTGACCATGCCATCCCCCGCCTTGCCCTGGCAGCCGCGTCTCCCAAACACCATCCATCACCCAACACTCACACACCACCCAACACTCGCTACACTCACACACCACCCACCCGCTACTCACACGTCCGCATTGCCCGGGTTGACCATGCCATCCACCGCCTTGCCCTGGCAGCCGCGTTTCCCAAACAGCTGCACGCCGCTGCACCAATCAACACCCGAGAAGCCGTCCAATCCACGTTTGCTGCTATCCGCACCGCGGCCCCTCCACCACACCTGCACGGCGGCTCTTCCGCTGCGCCTTCACAGGCACGTTCACGCAGCGCTGCTTGTTGAAGGCCCAGACCGCGCCCCTCCCAACCGCCACCGTTGTGGAGATGAACGGCTTGCGAACCCAGTGGTGCTGCTGCTGGCGGTGCTGCTGGCGGTGCTGCTGCTGGCGGTGCTGCTGGCGGTGCTGCTGGCGGTGCTGCTGGCGGTGCTGCTGCCAGTGCTGGCTGGCGGTGCTTGCTGCCAGTGCTGCTGCCAGTGGTGGCCAGCGCAATCCGCGCATTGACTTTGCTGCTTGCTGCTGTCCACCGCCTTGTCTTCTCCATAGACACGGCGTTCAGCATGCTTCGCAGTGCGGATCCGCGAGGCTGAGACATGCTCTTAACTCTGCCGTCCCCATACGCTGCATTTATCATCTGAGCTGCTGCAAGGGACAAAGGAAGAGGATGTGCAGAGAACAGAACAGATTATTTCTTAAACGCCTAAAAAATAGACTCATATGAACTGCTGCAGAGGACGGGAGAATGTGCAAGGGAGAGAATATGCAAAGAAGAGATCAGAGAGCGGGTATGAGAGAGCAATGGAGTGGGAGAATGGAGGTGTGGAAGTATAATGGAGGCGGGAAACAGAAGCGAGGCAGGAGGACAAGAGTGGAGACTCCCTGTTCTTTTGAGGCACCTCAAAAGGAGAAAGGGCATGAATCCGAGAGCCCACAGATCAAGGCAAGGCCTGACCCCACAAGCCTTGCAGCATAAAGAAACTCTCTCATCGATTGCAGATGAGCATATTAACTGTTTCTCGGAGAAGAATACTGACCGCAAATGAGGGCGAGGGCGAGCAACAGGAGCCCAGAGCCAGGGCAGCCCATCAACTTCATGATTTGTGGGGGTCCCGCGCGAGAGCAGGCGGAAGAGGCGCACAGACGAGAGCTTGCGCTGTGAAGCGCGGTTCAAAGCGGTGTAGAGTCGCACGGGGTGTCTGCTGCTGTATTGAGTGCGGAGTGTAGCTGAGGTGGGTAGATTGACGGATAGTGCGATGCAAGGATAGTATAGTGCAAGGACAGAACTGGCGGAAGGATGGTAGAATCAGAAAGAGGAAAGAATGGCAGGCTTGTTTTCTGGCTTCGAATCAGCTGTAATTTATGTTGGCGAGTTACAATCACGGCTCGGAGCCAAGCGTAGTATCAGCCGCCGGGCCATGGCTTCGTTTCGGTTGCGAACTCTAGGAACACAATGCGTGCATCAAGACAATCTTGAAACCGAAATTATTTGAGGAACGAGAGAGAGAGAGAGTCGCGCGGCGGACGAGCCAATGTGGATCTAAGAACGCGATACGAGCGACGGGTTGCAAGAAACATATGCGAGGGACTTTTGTTCGCGAACCAATGATGCAACGCCGTGGCTTCCCGTTCCAGTCAGACGGGACCATGCGACAAGGAGAGGATTCTATGAAACCAGCAGCAGCGTTATCGGAGTGCATTATGCAAGTAACCTTCATAGCACTCGATTGGGAAGACACGGGAGTGGTAGCTGCCACTGGTTAGAAATCGCTACCAACGGGAATGGCTCCCGCGTTATCCATTCGGACTGGTGCGTGTTGGAGTGACGCGTTCCAAACACAAATCTAAGAAAATTTCCAGCGACTTCAGGCTTCTGCTGCTGAATCGAAATCAGGGCGCGGTACATTTAGTCTGTTCAATTTGAGGCGCAGTTGAGCCTCGCCCCAAGCTCCCAGCTGACAAACACCCACACCAGGTAAGCTTGGCGAGGATTCAGAGGAGACGAAATAACGCGAAATAGGGGTGATGCTTTGTCGCAAGTGCAGATCGAGAACCCATCACTAGTAACAGGACAGATTTTCGCATAATGCGAAAGGAGTGACTTACACACTCAAGCGCGGTTTCCGATACCCCCGAGCCTCGGGTTACCAAACAAAGCTGTTGCAGCCTTTCGAGTTCGAAATGGGTCGGAAAGTTGGGTCGGGGCTGCGTGACAACCACACTGCTGGTAACGAGGCATTCAGGTCTACAATGAGCTCACTACTGCCCTCATCCGCGCTGTGAATATTCCGCCAACAATATGCAACGCTACAAAATCTAGGTTTTTATGGGTGGTTGTGACATATTTTGTGGATATAATATTGTAGATTGCTTTCAGAAAAATGTTCTTCTTGTAGGGGGTAGTTAGCCATTGTAATGAAAATTCCTTTCCTTAATTCACGTCCCTGCTCAACGCGTACAACCACTGTTTCCTGCCAACAACTCTCAAACAATGCACCGTTACCACTCGCGACACTCGCATCGACTACTGTTCCCGCCACTATTTACGACGCGACCCAAACTCACGGTTCGGGTGGTAACCCGCACTCCGGAACCCCGCCTCGACAATTCCCTGCCTCGGCGCTAGGCCCGTATGTCAAATGTTTGTAGTCTTTGTGATGTGTGTTATAGGGGGTACAACTGTTAGGGTTATGTTTATGTACCCCAACCAACCTTAGTCAAGCCAATACTTTCATTCTTGACATGGTATCACCTAGGTTAGGATCCTGTGAGATCCCGCTAGAGCCTCTCGTGCCCGTTGCACGTAGTCTACCATTCCCGTTGCGCCTGTTTCGTCCCGTAGCGCCTCTTGTGGCCGTTCGTTCCATCCTGTAGCGCCTAAGCGCTTGTCCGTTTCGTCACGAAGCGCCCGTAGCGCCTGTAGCGCCCTTAGCGCTTGCCCGTTCCGTCGCGAAGCGCCCGTAGCGCCTGTAGCGCCCTTAGCGCCTGCCCGCTTCGTCACGTAGCACCCGTAGCGCTCGTAGTGCCCGTCGCCCGCACCTACCTGCCCCTCGTTCTGTCCCCTGCCCGTCGCATCACATCCCCTGCCCGTCCCGTCCCCTGCCCGTCGCGTCCCCTGCCCGTCCCGTCCCATCCCAGCGTGTCGCGCTGCCCGTACCGTCCCGTCCCCTGCGCGTCGCGCTGCCCGTCCCGTCCCCCCCTCCCGTCAGCGCGTCGCGCTGCCCGTACCGTCCCGTCCCCTGCACGTCGCGCTGCCCGTCCCGTCCCCTGCGCGTCGCGCTGCGCGTCCAGTCGCGTTTCGTCCCCTGCCCGTCGCGTCTCGTCCCCCCCCTCCCGTCGAGTCGCCCCCAGCCCGTCGCGTCGCGCCCTGCTGTCCCGTCGAGTCGCGTCCTACCCGCCCCGTCGCGTCGCGCCTTCCGCTCAACCTGCCGCGCCCTGCTCGGACCCTCTATGCGTTTAGGGTTTTGGAAGCAGCAGTATCGACCTCTACGGTTCCACTATGGCGACCCCTAGGGTCCTGCGCATTGACGCAGAGGGAAGGCCACTCGAGTTCTTGGTCTGGCCTCCTGCGTGCGCGCCGCCTCCTAGAGAGCCAGGTTCAGACACACGAGCCTCTGTGGGCGCACGCTTCCGGTGACCTTCTTGAGCCCGCTAGCCCTGCACCCTTAGCAGCTGACCCACACCTGCAGGACAGTGACCGTTATGCACACGAGCGTGCTGACGTGACCGCGTGGAAGTTGCGTGGACATTGCGACCTGCATTGCCTCAGCAGCCTCCTCCCTGAGTCTGAGGAGACCCCTTTACTCAGGTTCGCACGGCTAGTGAGTTCTTGACTGCGATCAAGGCCCGCTACGCTACTCCCACCATTGTCTCTCTTGGTCTCCTGTTCCTTCCGTTCTTGTTTCCTGACCTCGGCCTCGTTTGAGCGCACTGCTGACTTGACCACTCATCTGCGCTCGCTCGATTCTAGCTACCGCGCTGCTTCCACTGACTGCACAGCTTTCACTGCTCCCTCCCCCCATGGCAATTACTATCTAATTCATCGCCACTAGCCTCCCTGACCGCCTTGCCTTGGTTCGTGACGCGCTTCTTTTGACCCTAGCGAGCTCACTATCGAGGTCCTTGAGTCGGCCCTCGAGGACGTCGAGAGCAACCTCCGCTCGGTAGCCTCTGCCTCTGGTGCTGTGCCCCCTCCACTGTTTCACAGGTGCACTGTCCCTCAGCTGCCCACCTTTACTGCCTCCCTCGCCACTGCCCCTACTGACAGTGACCCGCAGTTGCTGTTACGACTTCTTCGCGGTCTCGGGGTAGGAGTGGCAGGAGGGGTGGTCAGGGTGCGGGCGGAGGCGGCGGAGGCGGTGGAGGTGGACATGGCGAGCGGGAGTGGCAGGGGCTGGAGGAGCGCCTCGTGCAGTGACCGGTGACTCCCCAGCTGCAGCTGGTGGAGGTGACGCCTGGGTTCGTCAGCCACCTACTGGTCTGCCAGCTGCAGGGGGTGGAGCAGCTGCGTGGCACCTGAATCAGCGACAGCAGCAGCAGCAGCCCCTCCTCTCGCAGCAGCCACAGCAGCAGCAGCAGGTTTCGGGGCAAGGGTCAGGTGAGCGTCAGCTGCAGCTGCGGTGTCGTCCACCCTCCCTGCATC